TGGTACCACTTAGATGAAGGACTAGACCAAGCAAAACCAACCTATGGTGAAAAAGTAGATAATGGTTTTCTCTGGGAGAGTGAGGAAGGAATTGACTGAGAGCTTTCCAAGGTGAAGGTAATATTCTGCATCTTAATAAGAATCTCAGGCACACAGCTTTATACATTTGTGCAGTTTCATGAAATGGATTATATAATTTGTTGTGGGTTGAACTGTGCTCCCCAAAATTTATTTTAAAGTCTTAACTCTTAAGATCTGAGACCATGACTATATTTGGAAATACAGTCTTTACTTGGGTTAAGATGAAGTCATACTGGATTAGGGCTGGTCCCTAAATCCAATGACTGGTGTCATTATCAGAAAACCATATAAAGATCCAGGGATGCTGAACACCACCATATGATGCAGGGCCACAGGTCACAGTGACCTAACTGTGAACTAGGGATTGCTAAGGATTGCTGGCTAGAAGGGAGGCATGAAACAGATTCTGCCTCAGAGCCTCCAGGGAAAACCAACCTAACCAACACTTTAATTTCAGACTTCTCTCTCCACAACTGAGTGAGAATAAATATCTTTTTTTTAACCACTCAGTTTGTAATAGTTAGTTATGACAGCCATAAGGAACTAATACATACTTAAATTTATATATTTTTTATTTGTAAATTTTACCTTAAAAAGAAAACCATACACTATTGAAGTCTAGTTTTTAATATGTATGTGAAAATTTTAGTAGTCAAGTATCTGAAATTGTTAGAATTTTTGAAACTAAATGGTGAGTACATAAGCATTCCATGAATAATAAATCTTTTACATGTTCTGTAACTGGAAAATTTTCATTATCACACATGGGGGAAATGATTGTGAACCTTATGGGTTAAATAAACATTTTAAGTGAAATGGAATAGAACAGAACAGAAAAGCAAAAATAAGGACAAAAACTGTTTAATTTCAACTATACAAAATATATTTGCATATATGTATATATTATCATAGATTATAGCATAAATTTACCTTCCTCCTGGAGGTCAAGCCACAAGTATTAGAGAAGTACTTCCTTAGCCTCATAGATTTTCTCAAATTTCCTCTTTTCCCCTTGCATATTTCACCAATATTTTTATACCCACACCCACCTAGTCCCCACGTCATTTACTCAAGTTCAAAGCTCTTGCTATAAAAATGTTTACATATCCATCTCTCTTTGATCCATCATCACAGTTAGTGAACCACATTCTCCTTAAACAAAATTCCTTCCAAGGGAATTCATGGGACATTTTGTGAGCTGTATTTATATCTTCAAAATCCCAGGATAGCTTTCAGTAATTTTCTGCAACAGGACAATCAAGGGAAGCTTTAAAAAATTAGTAAAACCTTTACCAGATGTGCTTCCTCTGTTATTTCTTGGAAAGCACAGGCAAAGTAAGCTAGCATCACAACAAAAAAGTTTAGGCATGAACCCTTCAGCTAGAGATGAATTCTGTCTGGAAAGTATATGAATTCATATAGATACTGTTATCATTTATGTTTAAAGATAACATGAGTCATGCTAGTTGGGATATTGAAAAAATGTACTGATTAAATTAAATTAGAATTATTTGAATCAACTATAATGTTATAGCTCAGCGGCAGAAGTGCCTGCTTGGCAAACACAAGGTCCTGAGTTCAATTCCCAGTACCTAAAACAAAAACAAACAAACAAAACCCAAAACCAGAATATTTTTACAAAAAAAAGAAACCATAAAATTTCAATATTATAATAAGTTGTTCATTTCATTTTAGTTCAGTCAACACTCACTTAGACAAGTAGTAGGTTGGTCTCAACCATGTGTCAGACGCCCTGCTATTAGTTCAGGGGATTCAGGGGTGATTAAGACTGGTCTCAGCTCTTGAGGAGTTCACGGTGTAGTAAGACAGACACATAAATAGTGCGTTTCAAGAGTCAGGTAGGTACTACCCATAGGTATATATGTACAGTTCTCGAGGTGTACAAGTGTCAGGTCATGCTAGTTTACTTGTACAATATTAGAGTTGAGGTTTTTAAAATTAAATTTATTGGTACATTTTAGGTATAAAGAATGATTATGTTGATTATAGGGAATTTGTACCTGTATATGATATAAATTGATTCTTTTTCGCCCATTCCCTACCCTCCCTTCAACCCTCCTCCCTATTTACAAAAGCTTTGTTTCCATTTTCCTTCTTTTCTCATCATTTTTTTCTTTTCCCTTCTTTCCTTCCCCCCTCCCCTCTCCCTAGTTCTCCTTCCCATTTGGACACTTCCTTCTTATTTCACAATATCTGTTGCACATTTTGGTCCTTATTTACACTTTCAGTTTCTCACCCCAGAGAAACAATGCAGTATTTACACATATGTGTCTGATTTATTTCACTGAAGAGTACAGCTTCAGAGTGTATCCATTTACCTAGAAATGTCTCCAGCTTATCTTTCTGTATGGAAGAGCATTACTCCATTGTATTAAAAAACCCACATCTTCTTTATTTGTCATCAATTGATGTGCATTTGTGCTGTTTCCAAGATTTAGCTGTCACAAACTGTGCCAGTATAAACATGGATGTGCATATATCGCTGTGGTGTGGTGCTTGTTATTCTCTTGGGAAGATACCCAGAAAGGCAACAGCTGGGTCAAATGGAACTTCTAGTCCTAGTTTCTTGAGGAATCTCCACACTGATTTCCACAGTGGTAGAACCAGTCTATACTCCTACCAACAGTGGAGGAGAGTTCCTTTTCCCCCACGGCCCCTCCAGCATTTGTTATTGGTTGTTTTCTTGATAATAGCCATTCCTTCTGGGACAAAATGAAATCTCAGTGTTGTTTCAATTTGCATTTATTTTTTTTTGATACCAGCGATCAAACTCAGGACCTTTTGCTTGCCAGGCAGGTGCGTATGCCACTAAGCTATATCCCCAGCCCTTCAATTTGCATTTCTTGAATAAGCAGTGATATCGAACATTTTTCATATATTTATTTGCCATTTCTACTGCTTCATCTAAGTATCTATCTATTCATTTCAGATGCTCATTTTTGGATTGGGTCTTTAAATTTGGGGGATCTGATTTTTTTAGTTGTTTACATATTCTAGACAGTAATCCTTTGTCTGAGGAACAGCTGGCAAAAATTTTTCCCACGTGTGAGTTGTTTCTTCACTCTATTGGTGGTTTCTTTTGCTGTGCAAAATCTTTTTAATAAGATGAGATCCAGTTGTTGATTCTGTGTAATATCTCTCTTGCAGTTTGGGTTTTGTTCATAAAGTGTTTGCCTACACCAATGTCTCCAAGAGTTCTGCCTATTCTATCATACAGCAGATTTAACGTTTTTGTTTTAATATTTAGATCTTTGATCCATTTTGATTTTAGTTTAGTGCAGGGTGAAAGATATGGGTCTAGTTTTAATCTGTGGCATGTGGAAAGCCAGTTTTTTCAGCACCATTTATTACAGGGGCTCTGTTTCTTTCAGTGAATGTGTTTGCCACCTTTGTCAAAGATAAAGTGGCTGAGTATGTCTGGAGTTGTTTCTGCATCTTCTAGTCTGTTCTATTCGTCCTCAGGTCTGTTTTTCTGACAGTACCATGCTGTTTTTATTAGAATAACTCTGTAGTATAATTTCAAATCAGGGATTGTGATGTCTCCTGCCTTGTCTTTGTTGCCCAGAATTGCCTTTGCTATTCTAGGTCTCTTCTGGTTCCAGATGAATTTTGGAATTGTTTTCTCTAACTCTGTGAGATATGCTGTTGGAATTTTGATAGGGATTGCATTAAACCTGTATAGCAATTTTGGAAGTTTGGCCATTTTCACTATATTGGTTCTTCCTACCCATGAGCAAGGAATATCTTTCTACTTTCTGATATCCTCTTCAATCTGCTTTTTCAGAGTACTGTAGTTTTCAATATAGAGGCCTTTTACTTCCTTGTTTGATTGACTCCTAGGTATTTCTTTTTTTTAGAGTTGAGTCTTAAGGAATGTGCAGACACTTATTATCTAGGGAAAGAAGGATCTGGGAAGGAGCAGATGTGTTCTCTATTGATTTCTACAGAAAGTGGCCCTATCTAAATATAGCAATTGTATTTTCCTCAATGGAGTTTGTAAGCTTAGGGCCAATGCTTAATTGCTCCAGAAAATAGAAGCTGTAACCAGAACTGACTCTGAGACCTGCCTTTTCTGCATTCCTTTCTTCCTTCAAACCATTAATCTTCCCTCTAAATATCAGATGGAAAGTTGTCAAAGATTTAAAGACTTTTAGTCTGAATATCTGACACATCAGTATTTTCCCTAGTTTATTCACCTATTTTGTTGCACTCTAAAAGTAGCAGGATAAAAAATAAAATAGAAATATTAAAAAGGTGTGGTAGTGAATACAAGGTAGGATTTGGGTAGAGACACGATTCTGTGGGTCAGAGAACAGTAATGAAATGCAAGTATAAGAGGAGGAAAACTATTACTTCAAAGAATTGCCAAGGATTCCAAGACAGAACAGGAGACCTTTAGGTACCAAAAGTGAAGAGGAGGATTTATCTTTCAATAATGATGCTTAGTGAGCACTCGAGAGAAATACTGTTCTGTCAAGTTAGTATGTGATAGGGAAACAAGGCTGATATTTTTAACCCTGAGATCTAGAACTGCTTTAAAGCATATGAAGGCTTACCATATTGAGAGCTTAGGACTGCTCATCTTGAGAAGGAGAGATAAAGAATATCATATGACAAAAAAAATCTCTACTTTAACTTTTATTAAATCTTAAAGACAGTCCAGACACTTTTTCTTCCTGAAGGACAGATTCAAGAATATGTGCAGGGTTGACCTCTTCTCAAAAGTAAAAAGTCAAAAACAAAACAAAAACAAAAAGAACTATTGTTGAAAGATTTCTAATTCTCCCCTGGTGGAATGCAGATAGAAGCCAAAGCAAAGTCCCAGCTGACCTCAGAAGAGTGAAAGTTCAGGTAGGTCCAGCCCAGTCACTTCTGGAGTCAGGATGCTCTCAAGTACATGTGAAGACACACAGAAGACACATTGGCCCCAGACAGAGCCTCTTGTGAATGACAGTGACCAGAGGCAAGATCTACCCACATTTATGAAGCATCACAGGACCGAACAGGAGTAACCTGGAGTTGACTGTACTCAGTCCAGAAGGTCATTAATTGGGGACTGGTAAGAAAATGTATCCAAGCTTAGAAAAATGGCCAACGTGTTATGGCAAGTCTTTTCTGTGTTATAATGCAGTATTATTTGACATGCCTACAGAAAATTATTTAATATTCTAGAGCGGAGGTAATGAAGTGCTAGCTTGTAAGCTAGCACTTGTTTTTTTAAAAGTCTTATTGGAACACATCCACATTCATTTATGTATTTATGGCTGCTTTTGTGTTAACAGGATATTTGAGCAGTTTCACCACAGACTAAATGGTGTGCAAGCCTACAGTATTTACTGCCTAGATCTTTAAGGAAACTTTGCCAACCTTTGTTCAATGAGAATGCACTTTTGCATGATTTAGTGTTTGCTATTGATTAGAGATCAGATTCTATGGCACTATGTATTAACATGTAGAAGATTAATATTTTTCAGATGATTTCTCCCCAGCAAAAGATAACACCATACATATAATTTTATTTCTGTGTGAGAAATTAGCCAGCTTTATATCCAATCTAGCAAGCTTATTCCAATGTTGTTTCTTTAGTACCTATATACTGTATACTAATATCTTGGGTTTTTAAAAACAAACTTTTAACTTTAGAGCAGTTAAAGATTTATGGAATTATTACAAGGATAGTATAAAGAATTTCCATGTAAACAACACTTTATTTCTCCTATTATTGAAAAATTCCATTAATATGAGGCGCTTGTCATAATTAATGACCCAATAACGATATGTCATTAATGACCCAATAACGATATATCATTATTCATATTTCCTTGTTTTTCCCCTAATATCCTTTTTCTGTTCCAGAATGCCAACCAGGATGCAACAAGACGCATTACATCCAGTGGTCATGTCTTCATAGACACCTCTCATTTTGACAGTTTCTCAAATAGTCCTTGTTTGGGTGATCTTTAGAGTTCTGAGGAATACTCTGTAGTTGTCCCCCAGTTAGGGTTTGAGGAAAGCAAACACAGAGATCAAGTGTCATTTCGTATATCACACCAAGGGTACTTACTATCAGTGTGATGTATTGTTGATGTAAATGTGATCACTTGGCTTGAGTAGTGTTTGTCTAATATCTCTACTGTAAAATTACTGTTTAAACTGGAAGGTAGTCTGCATACAAAACTGCACCTAAAGAGTGAATCTTGCTCTGGTTACTTAAGCATGGAGTATCTACATAAGTATTTAAATTATTTATCCTTCCTAATTTAATTATCTATACAATCATTTATTTATTTCAGTATAAACAAATGGGTATTTCCTTTATACTTTGGATTTAAACCCAATACTGTATGACTTTATTTTATTGCTCAGATCTTTCAAGCTTTGGCTACTGAGAGTTCTTTCAGTTGTCTCTAGTTCATTTTGACATGTTTCAATTGTTGGGTTTTCTGAATACTTTCTAACTCTCTGCAAGATGATGATTCAGGCAAGAGATCTTTAGTCCTAGAAGCAGCCATTTCTCTGAGGAGAACTAGTTCCTTGTATTGGAGAATGCTAGTAGAAATAAATATGTGGGCACAAGAGATGATCACTGTTACTCGGCAATCAGTGCTTTTTAACCCTCTCAGCTGGCAGAGCAAGGAGATACATGTGTGCTATGTTTCTTATGTATATACTTCCTTGCGTATAACATATATTTATAAATATTTCTAGATTCACCATGTGTGCCCATATTAAGCTAAACATAAATTCATACTGATGTCTGCAATTTAATCCTTTATTATAAAGATCATTTCGGCCTCTTCCCTCATGTAACCTCCTACACCTACAGTGAGAAGGTTGGCTCCCACCACCTGCCATCCATCTGCTTAGTTATTCAGTTCCAGTCTACATGTATAGTGGCTTCATAATTTGTAACTTCCACACCTGTGGTAAACATTACCCACCAGAGTAATGTATTCAGGTACAGTTTATTTTGCCTTTAGTTTTATAGATGCCACTCATTTCCAGAGTTACCTAGGTCAGCCCTATTTCTCCCACCCACTTCAGTGAGGTGGATTCATAAATTTGTAATAAGTCAGATTGTTTTGTAACATTCTAAATTCCATTCTCAGTCTCGTTGTTTTTTTTTTTAATGTGATATATTGAAGTTTAACTTTTGTCTTATAATATTTTTTGGATTTTGACACATGCTCCTTGTCCTATATTCATTATTATATTATTATACAGAATAATTTCCTAGCCTTTAAAAAACCCACCTGTACCTTATCTATTCAGTCTCCAACTCCCACCCTCACCGCATACTGAATTCCTGCCAACCACTGATCTTTTATCCTTGCTGTACTTTTGCCTTTTCCTGAATGTCATATAATTGAAATCACATAATATACAACCATTTCAATCTGATTTCTTCCATTTAAAAATATGCCTTACTTGGCTGGTAAGTGCAAGGACCTGAGTTCAATTTCTGGCACAAAAATAAATAAATAAATAAAATTTTTAAAAAATATGCTTTGAAGGTTCAGCTATATTTTTACATAGTTTCATCACAAATTCTTTTTTATCAGTAGGTTACATTTTTTTGAGTAGATGTACTATAGCTTATTTATCCATTCACTTATTAGAAGATATCGTTGCTGCTTCCAGTTTTTGGAGATAAGGAATAAGGCTGCTATAAACATGCACATGCACACTTTCATGTGGACATGCATTTTTTAGAAGTCAGTTGGGTAACTATTTAATAACAAGATTACTGGATCATAGGGTAGGACAATTTTTAGTCTTGTAGTAAACAACCAAATGCCTTTCAATGTTTCTGTGTCATTTTGCATTCCAACCAGTGATACATAAGAAATCCTGTAGCTCTGCATTCCTGCCACTGATGAGTATTGTTAGGCATTTGTATTTGAGCTATTCTAATAGGTGTGTAGTAATTGTTGTTTAATTTGAAATTCCCTCATGACAAATGACATTGAGCATCTTTTCATATGTTCATTTGGTATCTTCTCTGGTACCTGCTTGTGTCTTTTGCTAATTTTTAAGTAGAATCATTCATTTCTTATTGTTGAGTCTAACAATCTTTTTAACTTTTGATGCAAATTTTTGTCCATTTTTTGTTTTGCAAGTTTTTTCTCCTGGTGTGTGGCTTGTCTTTTCATTCTCTTAAAGTCGCTAGCAGAGCAAAGTTCTTTTTTTTAAGAGTTCTGTTCATTTTTTTCTGTTTTGTATTATACTTAAAAATTCATCACAAATCCAACCCTGTGTAAATTTTCTTCTAGTTTTTTCTGAAGTTTTATATTTTTGCAAGTTACATTATATCTATGATCAGTTTTGAGTTAATATTTATAAAAAATATAAGGTATCTGTTTAAATTTTTTTCCCTTTTTAGATATTCAGTTGTTCAAGAATCATTCATTGGGAGAACATTAACTTTTCAGTATTTTATTGGTTTTGCTCTTTTGTCAAAGATCAGTTGAGGATATTCCTGTAGTTCTACTCCTGGATTCTCTGTTGTGTTTCTATGATCTATGCATTTATTCTTTTGCTAATCTCATGCCAAACCAAAGCATGTGTAAACACATCAAATAAGATAGGCCCACAATGCATACATGAAAAATGCTCAAATATTCTGGAAAAAAATTAATTAAGAAGAGGGATACCATATTCATGGATCAGAGAACACAGTATTAGTTTTATGTCGATTTTTTCCCTAAATTTATCTTTAGATGTAATGTATTTCTAATCAAAATTCCAGTACATTTTGTGTAGAAAATGACAGTATTCTAAAATGTGCATGAAAATGCCAAAGGCCTACAACGGTCAAAATAATCTTGAAATAAGAAAATCTGGAATATTCACTTTTTTAAATTTTAAAGCTTAATACAAATATGAATTAATCCAGAAAGTGTTGTAGAAGGGGAAAGAGAGAATTGGGAGTCCAGAAATAAACTCTACATTTATTGTAGATTGATTTTCGTCAAGGATGCCAAGATTATTCAATAAGAAAAGAATAGTTTTTCAACAAACGTTCAAAGAAATGAAGTCAGACCCTCTGCCTCACAACATATATTTAAAAACCCTCAAAATGGCTTACAGATGTAAGTGTAAGAACTTAAAAAGTAAAATTCTTAGAGAAAAGCAGAGGAGTGAGTCTTCATGACTTTAGGTAAAATGACTGAATATTAAATATAGCACCAAAAACATGAACAGCAACAAAATAGATAAGCTGAACTTAATCAGAATTAAGAGTTTGTGCTTCAACAACCTCAGCAAGAAAGAAATCAATTCAAGCAAACACCAAAAACACTGACAAAACCAAATTCTGATGAGATTATGGAGTGCGGCTGTACCACCCTGAATGTGCTCGGTTTCATCTGATAAGGATGTGAAGCAACTGGAACTTTCATGAATTGTTCTGAGAAGGCAAAATGAAACAGCCATTTGGCAGAATAGCTTGCAAGTTTCTTATAAAACTAAACACATTCTTGCTATAAAAGCCAACAACTGTGCTCTTTAGTATTTATCCACAAGAGATGAAAATTCATGTCCACACAATTTGCACACATAACACTGTTATTCATAATTTCCAAGATTTGTAAGCAACCAAGATGTCATTTGGTAGATGAAAGTATTAATCAACCATGGTATGTCTAGATAATGGTATATTATGCACAGCTAAAAAATGAATTATAAAGCAATGAAACATTTATAAAAAGTGAAACAATTACAAGCAATGAAACGATTATGAAAAATGAAACATTAAATGCATATTGTCAATGGAAAGAAATGATCTGGAAAGACTACACACTATATGATTCCAATTATATGACATTCTGAAAAAAATAAACAATGATGACAACAAATAGATCAGAAGTTTTTGAGTACAGGAGAAGAAATGAATAGAATTGAGATGATTTTAGGACAGTGACGGGGCTGTGTATGATACTCTGTTGTTGGATACATATTGTTAACATTTGTCCAAAACCACACAATGTATAACACCAAGAGTGAACCCTAGCCAGGCTCAATGCTGCATACCTGTAGTTCCAGCAAGAGAGACTGAGGCAGGAGGATTGTAAATTCAAGACCAGCCTGAGCTGCTCAGTGGGGTCTTATTTCAAAAAAAGAATATTAATAGGCTGAGCATATAGCTCAGTGGCAGAACAAGTTCAGGCCTAGCATGAGCAAGGCCCTAGATTCAGTACCCAGTGCTGCATAGAAAAAAATAGTAAACTCTTAGACCAACTAGAGGCTTTGGATGAGAATAATGTGTCAGTGTAAGTTTACCAGTTGCAACAAATGTACTACTCGGCTTAAGGTGTGGATAGTTGGGAAGGTTGTTATATGTGTATGGTTTGTCCAGGGTGTATGGAAAATTCTGTGCTTTCATTTCTAGACTTAAAGTAGGTATAAGAATGGTCTATTTTTAAAAGAAAGTCAACTATTTAACAGAAAATATTTGAAAATCACATATCTGGCAGGAGGCTTATTTCTAGAATATATAGAGAACCTTTATAATTCAATAATATAAATAACCCAATTAAAAATGGATTTGAATAGACAGTTTTCCAAAGAAGACCTACAAATCCCCAGTGAAAGATGCTGATCATGTGTCACTAAGTAAATGGAAATCTAAACCACAATAGGACATCGTTTTACATCCAGTAGGATGTTTCTACTGAAAGTGACAATCTCAAATGTTGGTAAGAATGTAAAGAAATTTGAACCCTTGCACATTGCTGGAAGGAATGTAAAATGGTGCAGCAATTTTGAAAATTGGTTTAGCAGTTCCTCAAATGTTAAACACAGAATTTCTATATGATATAAAAATTCCACTGATATATTTCCAACATACATAGTTGAAAACAGATGCTTAAACAAAAACCTGTACACTCAGCTTTGCAGAAGTACTAGTCACAATAGCAAAAGGTGGAAATAATTGATGTATCCATCAGCTAATGAGTGGTAAACAAGTGTGGTACATCCATAAATAAAAATGAAGTATTGATAATAGGTACACCTTGAAAACATTACGCTTAGTGAAAGAAGCCAGACATAAAGGCTAAATATTACATGATTCTATTCATATAACAACTCCGTAGAAAAAGAAAATAGATTAGTGGTTGTGGGATCTAGGTGGTGATATCTAATGTTAATGAGACTTCTTAGTAGGTAGATAAAAATATTCTGAAATTAAATAATATTGAAAGTTGCATACTTTACACATAAACTAAAAAACACTGAATTGTATACCTTAAGATGGTGGATCTTATGGTACGTGGATTATGTCTCAAAAAGTCTGTTATAATAATGATAACTATGGGCTGGGGATTTAGCTTAGCGGGACAGCACCTGCCTGGCAAGTGCGAGGTTGTGAGTTCGATTCTCTGTACCAGAAAAAAACAAACAACAACAACAACAAAATAATAATAACGATAACTACCTGCAATGACAAAAACTCAATATTTTGATTGGGTTACACTTTATTAATCTATAACAGGGGTTTCCCAGGATTATAAGCCTAGTTGCCATATCTAGGAAGATGTATATTTGATATAAATAAATGCATAATTTATGTTTTAAAATAGATTGAAAGTCAGTCAATAGCCTAGTTCCTGGACTGCTTCATAATGATTATTACTGTTTGGTTTGTTGTTTGACAAAACTTACCTACATTTTCCTTACCAAAGAGGTTTTCTATGCAGTTTTTATGGAGCTAACCATGCAGAAAAATTAAATTCCTGCTTATTCCTTGAAATTTGGTGGGGAATTTAAATGACTAGCTTGCAGATATCCAATTAAAAAACTCTTTAGTCTGAATATAAAGCCATAAAACACAGCCAAATTAAGTAAAACTTTTCTTTCCACTGGATCTTTCATTCCAGAATATAATTTACTGCCCAATCAGCCATATTTATGATCTGGTCACTTTATCAACTGTCTTTAAAAAAAAAAAAACCCATATGGAGTGTCTATCCACAGTTTGCATCTATTCACTCCATTGTCACACTTCCTGTTGCTAGGATACCACCTTTTTGAAACATGAAAAATTTATGTTTAATCAAGTTTTTATTCTCTGTGGCCTAGGGAAGGAAGAAAGTGAGGTCCGTGCACACCAAAAATAGCTTCCAGAATGACTCTGACTCTCTGGTAACAACTCTAAACTTAATTTTAAATTTAATAATTGAAAAATCTTACTCTATCATTGAAATTACAGGTTTTAACTTTGTGTCTTAGTTTGCCCATAAGTGGAGAGAGCTCGTGTCACAGAGCCCTCTCCTTTCATCTGAAATGGCTGATTCATCTCATCTATCAAAAATAAAACTGCAAAGTACAGGAAACCTTTTCCTTCAAAGAGGATTTATTTTCTTAGTCCTTATTTCCTGAGATTCCTAAGTTCAAAAGTAGGAACAAGTATATTCTACTTGCTCTATTTCTAAACGTGACAGAACTTAAAAGGTTAAAAAGTTAAAATTATTCCATTTATTTTTAATCAAATTAATTTAATTCCACAATTGGTATAGAATACCCTCTATGTAAAGCCGCTGTACTAACCACCAATGACAGCATAAAGGTGAATATGCAAGGTTCACTGTCTTTGAGATGGTCATAACCTCGTGAGAAATGAACAATTTCCAGTGTCATTCTCCAGAGGAGCAGGGAATTGAGTTGCTCTGAGCCCAGCAGGTGGAGTCCTGGCACTTGTGCTGGGACCTGCAGAAACAGAGTCTGGACCTGCACTGTTGGGATGTAAATAACACACAGCAACCATAAGTGTAAAAGATTAGTATAATGCCTATGACCCAAAACTGACCTGAAGTAGGCTGCTTAGTACTATGGCATGAAGCCAATTTATGTGCTGATGGAATTCCTAGGGTTCAAGAAGACCAGCAAGAAGTATGGCAGATGAACTGCATTCTAAAGGATTGGTAGGACTTCATTAATCAGAAGTAACAAGGAAGGGACACACAAAATATGAAGGAAAGAAAGAAAAAAGAAAGAAAGAAAGAAAGAAAGAAAGAAAGAAAGAAAGAAAGAAAGAAAGAAAGAAAGAAAGAAAGAAGAAAGAAAGAAAGAAAGAAAGAAAGAAAGAAAGAAAGAAAGAAAGAAAGAAATGAAGGGAAGAGAATATTGCTTTAGTAAAACAATGGATAGTCCTGGAGGACCAGAAGTTTAGAATATATGCAACTGTGGGGTGAAGAGGCAGCAGAGTGAAGTGTAACTTGAACTTTATTCAATGTATACAATGAGGATATGTCCAGGGTTGTTGAATAATGCAATATTGTGAACCCTGTAATAATAAGCTGACTTATCAGTGGAGTTCAGAAGCATCTAAAAATGATTTGATTTTAAACTTGTCCTAATAATTCTTCATTTTCTTTCTCAGATCCATCTTCACCTTCTTTCTCTAGCTCTGTGCCATAGAGGATGGCTTCACTCAAGCTCTGCATTCTACTGGGATTTGACCAATGCAAAGCACCAACAAATTACTGGAGGTGAGAAAGACAGAGACAGGGATGTGCTTACTCATCAGACATTGGTCCCTAGATGTTATGGTTTGGGATTTTTCCAGGGGAAAATACAATACAGGACACATATTTTATAAGATTATTTATAATAGTCACCCAAAGAATCATAGAAAGAGAGTGCAGGAAATCTGTCTACACATTATAGACCAAAGAATCTAGCTGAGGGTCTGGATCCCAGAGTAATGTCCTGTATGAGTCCAGCTGGAAGCATAGAGCCCATGACAATGTCTTAGGCAGGCCTGTTTGATGGATCTGCATTGGGAAGGCCCAAAGGTCAGCAGTGGAAGCTAGAGTCTGTGCCATCAGGATGAAGTACCTGTGCTAGCAGGCTGAGGGATCTGAATTGGAGCCAGGAAGCGACTCTCAAAGTAAGAACCAGAGCTCCCCTGAAAAGTACCACAGCCATCCTCAGCAACAGTGAGGTCTTGAGCTTCTCCAATGATGAGGAAAACTGAGTTCCCTCCAGGAAAGTCAATGCAACAAGCTTCTCCAGGAGACTGAGCAGTGCACTCTCTTCTGGTCCAGAGCCAGGAAGCGACGCTCGAAGTGAGGACCAGAGCTCCCCCAAAGTGAACCATAGCCATTCTCACCAATAGTAAGCTCCTTGGCTCCTTCAACAAGAACAGCCAAGTTTATCAGGAAAGCCACCATGACAAGGTCCTCTAGCAGAATAGCCCAAGAGAACCAGAAGCTTCCTAACAGCTTCCCAAACAGCTTCTACAAGCTCCCAACTGCCTGTCTTCTTCTCTGATTCTACCTCTTATGCTGCTGGCAACAGTCCTCAGGTGGGCCTCCCATGCACAGCACCATGCTGGTTTAGTTCAGCTGGGGGTTACAAGTTGACCACCAGTTTTCAATCCACCACACTAGGCCTCAGCTCTCAGAGAGTTTCTCCCTTCTGTAGCTAAGGTCTGATAACCACATCATTCTTCTGCTTCTTCATGGCCTCCCATTATTGCTAGACACTGAATACCTCATCATGTTTTGTTTCCCTCCCCTTACTGTTTGGCAGAAGGGTGAAACTGCTTGCAGGTTAGATGCTCAATATACATTGGTCACCATGGCTAAGATTTATTCCAGTAAAAAGATATAAAGCAAAATCAACAAAGATGAAAGGCGAAGATGACATGTAGGTGAATCCAGGAACATGTTTCAAGAATCCCTCCAGTGGAGTCACACAGGACATGCTGAATTCCTCCAGCAATGGGTTGTGACAGTAAGGGTGAAATGTATCTTCTAAGGAGGCTCATTTGAGACTCAGAGCCTGGGATTTTTACTGGATGTTGATCATCTGGATCCCCTTGACCTAGAACACAACAAAATGTCAGGCTCTTCAAAGGAAAGCAGGTTTTCAGCGTAATCTATAGTGTTTGCATAAACACTGCAGGCACTCCGAGCTTTTCATCTCAGAGCATAGTAGAGGCCCTCACCAAGTCCAAGTGTCCAGATGTCAGCTGAGGTCAGGTTTGCAAGGAGGCTTTCCTACGGATGGCATTCTATATTAACTTTTCCACATGCCTGTCCACATTTCTCATCTTTAGGCATTAAAATCTGAGTCTTTGCTACCAGAAGGTTATAAATCACAAATATGAGATTGGATTTTGCAGCAAAACAGGAGCTGAAGATCCTTCGGCAGTAACTCTTTCTTGCCCTGTTTGTTTCATTTCAGAGGAACATCTGTGCATAGACAACAGCATCCTTCTGTCCTGATAGTTTGTTTCCCTCCTGGTTTGGGCCAGGGCATTACCTCCAAGGAAGACTGCTCTTCCTACAGTCATTTCAGGGGCGGTTTCTGTATGGCCCCTGGGAGAATCTCCTAATGAACTCTAGTTTGTACAGAAGATGGTACTGGTGAGATTCCAGCATGCATGTGAGATGCTACTCCAGAAAGCACCATGCTATCTGTGAAAAACTGCCAAAAGAAGTATAGACTAATGCTTGGGGGAGGGAGGGTTAAGAGAGGGGATTTTAAATGACTCCTAAACATATTGCTGAAAAATGTTTATTCTTGTTACACACATAGTAAGAATAATTTGTAGCATTAGCACACAAAAAACCGTTGCACAGAAATTATTTCGTGGGAACCTCATCTGATACTTGTGCATCCCCATGCACAAGTGATGGAGTTAGGACCACTGAAGTCAGCTGCTTAGAGGTCACCTAAGTCTTCTGCAAAGGAATCATACATATTAACTTTAAATCAGAAGAAAAGATAACTTCTCCATTTTAAGTTAAAAATAGAGCAATGAATTAAACCTGAGTTTCTATGTGCTATAAACAAGAATTTTTTTATCATTCCAAACTTCTTTGTCCATGTATACTTCCTGCACCTGCACTGCAAAGCACGTTTGCATTGCATGCCACTTTGGGTGGTTGCACTTGGAGACTGGACTACCAGCTTCAGGTACAGGCTGTACTTACGGTTGAGGGCAGCAGCTCCTGAGAGGTACCTGATGGCCATTTTGTGTATCACTTCTTGTGCTGGGAAACAGCCCAAGATTTGACATGATAGATCTGCCCCTTGCAAAATGATGGTAACCATCTGGTCCAATCTGATTATTTTTTTAAGGAATTCTAACTTGAAGTATGAGAGGATATGTAGACAGTGGGCAAGTAGCAAAGGTCATTAAGCACTGAGGTCATGAATTGATAGAAGAGATGACTGAATAAAAGCCTGAGAGGAAGAAAACAAGAAGACAATCAGAAGACCAAGAGCAAAAAAGGGGGCCTTAAGTAAGTGAAAACTAAAAGATCTATTTATTAAGGAGGAAGGTCATTGGTTGGTATTAATTGGTAATGGAAGGAGGGAGAGAAGGAACAAAGGAGGGAAGGAGGGAGACAGAGACAGACTCAATTACTAAGAACATCTTAATTGGACCTGACAACTCCAGCTTCTAAGAAACGTCCAGGTGACTCAGCCTCCAGAACCACACTGGTCCCTGGATGACCTCTGAGCTCACAAATGCTGTTCTATCTCTTCCCGCAGGGCCTGATGAGCAGCTGTTTCCCTAGGGCTCAGCCATGTTATTGTTGGTCTAATCATATTTATTCCCAAGCATATCCTCACAGTAAATCTATCATTTGAAGTAAATTAAGTAAGTGTCTATTTCTTGCTAGCAAAAAGGCTAACACAGTAGTTGCAATGGAAAATCACAAGTATAGGAAGATGGCAGTGCTCTTAAAGGTTTGGCTTGTTATTATAGGGCTCTGTGCCATTGTGACAATACAGGGAAGACATCGCATGTCTAAGAAGTAATGATTTCACACCTTCTTCTTAGCTCTTCCAGTGATGCACTGCCAACTCACCTTCATGAAACATCACTGATCAAGCATCCATTTTCAACCTACAGCCCAAGACAGTGTTCCACCTGTGGGAGTGTTCAAAAACTGTTACCCATCAGGGTTCATGGGAAATACTGAAGATACAATCTCTCAGAGGTTTTAAAAAGGGGTAGCACTATCTTCTCAAGGGGACATCTGAAAACAATTTCAGATATTCTTACTGGTCAATTAACTTGGGTCTGCTGTTGGCTTTTAATGAGAAAGAGTGAGGGATGCTAACCATATTGCTCATCCTACACCAGTCGTATCCCAACAAAAATACAGTGCTGCCGTTTAAAGAATCACTAGACCCTCATACATACGTATGTGGTGATCAGCTAAAACTACAACCTATAGCCTGATCCATGGCCATACCTCAGGACAGCATATTTGAAATCCAGCTTACTCTAGGGAATTAATTACATGTCCTGATTTAGCTATAGACCAATCCCAACGTATACTGGCCTCCTGTGAAAGGCAACGAAGTCCTAGGAACAAACATCTTACCCACAGACAATGAACAAGATGGATTTGTCAAAGTAAAAAGTTAGGACACATTTTGGCGAGCAACTTGCTAACTTAATTTACAACAGTCCAACTCATACATGTGATCTTGCTTTGCATGGTTCCAGTTACTACAGGGTAGACTGCAGTACAAAATTATTAAATGAAAAATTTCAGAGACAAGCAATTCTGAAGCTTTAAATTGCAGCCATTCTAAATGGCATGACAAACCCTCAGGCCTCCCTGCTTCAGCCCATCCCTTTCTCCAGGGAATCCATGCTGTACACCACCTTCTCATCAGTTACTTAGTAGACTTCTTAGTTATCAGATCTACTGACCTGAACACATCATAGTGCTTGTGTTCAAGGAACGCTCAGGTAGTAGCCTAAAACTGTGTCACAAGGCCTATGTTATTCACCTCACTTCATCTCTTCACACAGGCATTATGCACTCTTACATCATCATAAGTGGAGAAAAGGTGAATACAATACAGAATCATGAGAGAGACTGAAAGACAGAGAGGAGATTCACATAATTTTTGTTATACTGTTTTGTTATCATTGTTCTTTTTTATTATTTTTTGTTGTCAATCTTTATTATACTAACTTATAAACTAAAATTTATCATAGAGGTATATTTCTGGGAAGAAAAATAGTATATGTAGGGTTCAGCACTACTATCTGAGGTTTCAGGCATTTACAGGGGATTTGGGAACATATCCTCACAGACAATAGGAAACTGCTTGTTATATTACTAGTAAATGACTCATCAAATGTAATTGCTGTTTTTATTGTTGCCAAGGTTGCACACAAGTTAGGAGGGGGTCTGTTCACAGCCCTGCTTCTAGTCTGAGTGTAACTCAAGAAATATACCAAGCCATAAGGCTTGGAGAAATCATCTCTGCCCTTAATTTGTACGATCTAACCAAATTAAATTCTGTTCCCTTGAGGAAAACTGTAGAGAGGACTTCTTTCACATATCCTATGAGCAAGTGCTCTCACATTCATATGGAAGACCTGTCATTTTTTGAAGGTTTGTAGGTTTATTATGGTTTGTGTCTAGATGTCCGCCCAAAGCCTCATGGAAGATTTTCAGAGGTGGATCTAGAGTGTGGGATGCTGGAATTGATTCATGGTGCAATGCTAGGATGAATAGCACTAGGATGAAAAGTGTGAGTGCTACCTGCCCTAAGTACTCTAGATAAGATTTCAGGGATAGAAAGAACTGTGGTCATCCCTGTTTGCCTTGTTATCTTCTGCCCGCCATGAACTGTTTCTCCTCTGCAATGCCCCTCTACCAAGCACCCTGGCTTGAAGCCAGCCAGTTTGGATTGCAACCTCTACAAACTGTAAGCCAATTAAATCCTTTCCCCTTTAACTTTGGGAGTCAGGTATTTTGTCTCAGCAATGAGAAACAGTAACAAAGACAAGGTTTTACGGAGCCTTTGGAGTCAGCTATGACTCTGCGCTTTAAGTCTCATTCTCTCATCCCAATCTGAGAAGCCAAAGTGTTTTGTTCACAAATGAGCTACATGTGCCCCTGTTTTTGAGGGAACAGCTGCTGCCAAACACGTTTTCTTTCATCACTCGCTCATTACAGCAAGCAAACGGGAAGGCTCATCACTGGCTTGCCTTTTAATGGCATCAAGAAAAATTTCTCAAATGAATAATCCAAACCTTGGTAACATTTTTATTAGTGGAGGGGGGATGAGGAATGATTTTTTTCCTTCCTTTAAGAGCTTAACTAGTGACCAGAAATGTTGATTTCAATTCAGACTCAATCTCAGAACAATTTTTACTTACAGTTGGTTAAAGCTTCAGTGTCTGTTTATTCTTTTGAGCACCCTGAAATAAACACGTATATTACAAGTAAATCAATAAGAAAATGTTTAAATTTTCTTTTTCTGCTTTGAAGTCTTAATGCACAGAATATTTTTCTGACTTCTTTAAAAATCAAATAAAATAGCCTCTTTATTTAAAAATATAACTGTAGCTTCCACAGAGGTAACCATCTTTTTGTTCCCCACCTTTTCTTCTAAGCTACATCTTGTTACAACAGGCACCCATTTGATTTCAAAAGGCCTGGCAGTGCAAATGTGGCTTTTTTCTGAGGAATAAAAACCGTGCTTTTCCTTTTAGCTGAAAAGGGGAGGCATGTCTACCCTGCATAGATCAAAGGTACAGCACTAGATTAGGGGTCAGGAGACTGCTCATATCATCCTCCTCAGGGTGCAGGGAGCCAACCCTGCAGAAGGGTTTTGCTAGCCCAGTAGGTCTATAATTCCATGTTAATCCCTTCCTTCTGGGAGGAAACCATGGAAAGTTCCAGAGAGGATCATTCAAGTGATTTCATTAAGGAAGTAGCTATTTTTATCCTCTGTTGTTCTCAAAAAAAGATGTAAAAGCAGAGGAGGTACATACATGACTCCACTACAAAATCTGTTAGAAATAGAATTTTAATAATATATAATACTCATAATGTCTCCTAGAGTTTGATATGTATTAGAGTATTTAATCCTGATAGTGACCCTGTAAGGTGGGTAATATTATACCCTTTACAGATAAGGACATGGATGTACATAGATTCTAAGTGACTTATCCAAGTCCATCCCACTTATTAATGGTAGCATTGGAATTTGGACTTAAGAAACCTGGTGGTGAGTCCAGGTACTCACTGACCACAGTAACTGCCTTTAACCTACAAATAAACAGCCTAGTGTAGTGGGAAATGCTGATATTTGGAGTCCAGCTGGGTTATAATTCAGATTCCCCCATATCCTAGCTGTGCTATGTCTGGTGACTAACATGGCCTGTCCTAGCCTCAACTGCCTACCAGTGTACCTATTGTACCTGAAAAGATTGTAGTGAGGTTTAAATTAGATAATGAATGGAAAAATTTCATAAACCTGAGAGCCTTAAAAAAACAGTAATTATAATCTATAAGGCTCTCTGTTAGATAACTGAAAGTGGCAATTTCATCAACTAGTCATAAAACCATGGGCTAAACCATCACTGTTCTAACTTTAAAAATTTAGGCTTTCTGTGTAACTAATGTGCATAAAAAGACTTTAATTTTGGTTTTTAGGGATGTCATGGGGCTGAGGAAAAAGAGATAAGGACGAAGGGTCAAGAACGGAGAGAAATTATGGCATTTTATGGGCAAGGACTCCTCTCAGGGTCTAAATTCCCTTTTCTTATACTGAAATAAATAGACAAAATGGCTGGAGTCCATTCTTGCACATCATCTTCAATGCTGGACTGGAAAACCACCGGAATGGGGCGGGACATGGTCAGTAGTCTGGAATGGGAGCCAGAGCATCTACAAGACAAAATATGAAAACATCTGCTACGTGGCTTGGGGCCCTGCCTTTCTGATTTTCCTCTCTGACTGTCTCACTTACCTCCTGTCTTGGTTACTTTTTTTCTCGCTGCTGGGACAAAATACCTGACGCCCAAAATTAAGGAAGGAAAGGTTTATTTCGCTTACAGTTCGAGGAAGTCTCAATCCGTACTTGGCAGATTATAATGCAGAGTGGCACGTGGCAGAGGGCTGCATCTCAGGGCGGCAGCACACCTAAGCTGCAAGCCCACACCAGGGCGGAATGGGGGAGGAATGGCGAAGGAGGAATGCCCTCAAGCACTTCTTCCTCTCCCTTACATATGCAAACTATCCACTCCAGGGCAGATGCAGCTCTCACACCCATATTCAAACTCTAAAAGCCTGCCCCATGTCCGCATAAGGCATTGGGGGGACACATAGACATAAACCATAACACCTCCAGATGGATCCTTAAGTTGGCTTCTTAAATAATCTTGAAGACTCCAGTCAGGCACTTCTCCTCTATCTTCTCTGTCCCCATTCTTTCTCATGGGTCATAAAGATTCAGCTTGCTTTGGTTTTCTTTTCAAGGTTGCCTATTCTATTTTTTCCTCTACATTTTGGCTTCCTCTTCCATTAAGATATATTGTGACAGAGGACAATGTATCCTTCCCCACTTTCTAAATGCCACAAAGAATCCCCTGCCCCAAGGAGTACCACACCTATAAGATCATGCATGCTAGACTGCATTGTGCATCTAAGTCCAGTTCTGTAAAAGTTCTGGGAGCTACTTGCTAGCTTTGACTCTTAAGATCACTCTTCCCCGCTCCCAGGACCCATCACTTATCCACTTTCTGAACAATCACTCTCATTTTCCAGATGAAGAAAGCCCCATTAGCCTCCAAGGAAATAGTCCCTGAGCTTCAGGAAAGTTTGACCTATACAGAATAAGTTTTCTTCACCTTCCCTGGTACTCCTTTGTCACTGGTTCCCATCTCTTCCCTGTGTATATCCTGCCATGAATGGTTTTACCATAATTAACCACTCAGAAAACTCGGTTGCAACCTTCTAAGAGATTCTTAGTTTAACCTGGAGATTTTTTTTAACTTTTTTGAGTTATAAAAGTAATATATGCTCATTTTTATAAATCAAGCAATACAGAGAAACAATGCTTTAAAAATTCAGTTTCTCCATTCTCTTACCAGTCTTACATCCTTGAATTAACTAATGATACCAGTCTGTTAGACACTTTTCCTCCCCTTCAGAATTGGATCATATAAAAAAATTGGATCATGTTATTCACATTTATGCTGTTG